AATACAGCAAGTGGTTTTTATGATGAAAAGGGATACAGTCAGAGGCAGTAAACAAATCTGCATTCAGCATGCAGCAGATGTCAGCATTAACCAGGCTAATACTGAGGCACAGGGAAGTTGGATTCATAAGCAATGATCCCAAAAGCTGGAGATAAGTCTCTCCTAATAGAGATGGAAATTGAAATTTGGAAGCTGCCAAATCTCCAGCCTGACAACAAAGAAAGTTTTGTCAGTTCAGAATGAAAACCTGAAATAGTGAAGGCAGACTCGAAAAAATGGCTTCCAATTAGGCCAGTGCTAATGATCCAATTTCAGGTGAATGGTCTAAAGTGGAGTCAGGAGTAGTTAAGCAGTTTCTTTGAAGTCTCAGGTTTTGCAGTTGGTGAAGCAGAGACAGAGTATAAAAATTCCCTGAGGTACAATGGAAAGAGATAAATGCAGGGGTTTTAAGTACATGGGTTTGAAGAAACAGTTCTAGTATGGAAGGAGTCTCATTTAAATCATTTCCATGTATGGGCAATTGACTATCTAATAAATGTATATTGCATATAAGGAAGACATATTGAGCTTCCCTGTAGGATAAAGGATAATGAGTACAAAAATCAGACCTTGAAGATCATTTTGTTCCAAAACCCTGCCATGGGCAGGGACACCTTCCACTACCCCAGGTTGCTCCAAGCCCTGTCCAACCTGGCCTTGGGACACTTCAGGGATCCAGGGGCAGCCACAGCTTCTTTGGGAACCTGTGCCACCCTCACGGGAAGGATTTATTCTGTCTATCTCACCTACCCTCAGTCTGAAGCCATTCCCTGTGTCCTGTCACTCCAGACCCTTGTCCAAAGTCCCTCTCCAGCTCTCTTGGAGCCAGTTTAGGCACTGGGAGGAGCTCTGAGCTCTCCCTGGAGCCTCCTCTGAGCTGAACACCCCCAGCTCTCCCAGCAGTCTCCAGAGCCCTTGGGGCTCTCCATGGCTTCTCTGGACTCTTTCCAACAGCTCCATGTCCTTTCCATGCTGGAGACTGCACTGCAGGTGGGGTCTCACACAGTGGAGTAGAGGGGGGAGAATCATCCTCCTGCCCTGCTGCCCACACTGTGGGATGAGCCCAGGATATGCTTAGAACTGATTATAATGTAATTTATTCATGTTCACAATTGAAGTACTTGAAACATGAAACTTAACAGCATAAAACAAGATGGATTATTAAACATATAGACCCTTAAAACTTATTTTTAATCGATAAGGTAGGAAATGGTACTTTTAATTGTTGGGATTTTTCCTCACAGTGAACTGTATAGGGCACATCTCCAACTGGCAGCTGTGGCAAGCTGGTGCTATAGATCCATTTTGCACAATTGCTCCCTAATTAAAGCAGTAAAACTTTCAGCACCCTTGTAAGAAAAAGAATTCAGATCTAATATGACAGAGACTGTAGTTGGCTGACTTCAGCTATATTCAGCATTAAATGTTTAAGAAAAATGGATCCAGTTCTGCAGTTTATCTCTCTTTACAGTGAGGTAAACAGCTCATTTAAGCTTCCCTATCACTCACTTGCTGCAAGAGAAACCAAGACCACATTTTATCACTATGAAAGACTATGAAAAGACCATTTTTGTTATCAATCTCTTCCTCATCTCAGCATCACGTATGCAATGATTAGAGTTCATTTTTTGAGCCTTCAAGTGCTGCTTTTGCTTGGAGATACTGTTCTACCAACATGCTTCAGGGGATCTGCTCATCATTCAGCACAGCAACACCTCCACAAGTCAGTCAGGGAAGGTGTGGTGCTTGCCAGAGACTCCAGTCAGCTCCTGCCAACTCTGGGATCACAGCTGAGCCCTCTAAGAACACACCTTCCCTTTCAGAAAGTTTGAGTTTTGGTGAAATTAACATTGTGGAAAGGCTCAAGATACACTAGTGTGCAAATTTCAAGGTGCACTGACAGAGTTTTGCCCCTTAACTGTCTACTGGACACACTTTTTTCTCAGCTGGATATCCCCAAAAAGCAGTGACCATAGACTCAACTCTCACCAAGAAAAGCAGAGAGAAAGAAGCAAAGTTTGCCTTTATAATTCCTCTCAAGTTCAAGCTTGCAAGCAAATTTGTGAGCTGGAGTAATCTGCATCAGGGTGAAATTTGTAAAATCCCAGCAAGGGCTACTCTGCTGCCCAGGGTAACGACACGAGCATGAACTCCAGCTTGTAAAACACCCTCCGTGGGGAAAGTAACAGCACAAAGAGAGAAATCTATGGGCAAGTTTTGGGCTTCTTTTTTCCCCTTAAGGCACTCCTCAATTGTCAGCTCATGACAAAATTTAGAGCCTTTCTGCATTATTCTCACAGAACATTTGAGCAGCAGCAGGGCTGATTTCTGGCCAGTTGCCTCCCTGGCTTTTCAGAAGCCTCTCGATGTGTTGCTCTGGGTGCTACGGAGAGCGCGACGATCGAAAAACTGAATTACTTTGCTGAAAGTTATTTTGCCTTGCACTGTTAGTATCTGATAATATTCACTAACACTTTCAGCCAAAATCTGGTACCACTGAAGCAATCCAGATCCTCCACAAAGTGCCTGCTGTATGAGCCTCAGTAGAACTTTGCAGGTAATGGTCCCACCAAACCAGGATCGTGAATACTTCTATAAAAACAACACTAAAAGGAAAGTCCAGCCACCAAAAGTTCCACCTCTTTTGTTTGTTTTATCATGGGCTTTAATATACAAGAACTTCAGACAAGTACATTTAAGAATTCACCTGTCTCTAGGGGGTTAAGTGGCCCACCATGGAATTTCTCCTTAAGCATTTCTTAGTTATGAAAAGCCAGAAACACAATTTTCCTGGGACAAACCAGTTCCCACAGTGCAACAGAGAAACCAGATACAGTGTCTGGTATTTAGAAGAAACTGTGTAATGACATACTGAAAGGGAAACATGCTAATATTTAAACCCTGAAAAAACACCAATCTTATTTTTATGAACTACAGCCCATGGCAAAATAACTCAATAGGACTGAAGGCATTAAATACCAATCTGTTCATTAATTATAAAGTATGTCAGTCTATGTATTTCAAAGGCAAATTACTGAAAGGATAAGGAAGAACTTTCTAAAACAAACTTGGTTCCCCCTTAATTTGTCCAGATTTTTAATGTGGCATTTTTCAGGACAGGAGCAGCCCAAACACAGAAGACAACGAACAACAGTGGTACTGCCTTCTACTGCCAGGACCTGGAAGCACCTTTTCATCCATTCAAAGGAAGAAACTTTTCCTCATGTGTATAAGCGAGGCTGATCTTTTGCAGTTCTCTTAACAGATGTCCTAGCCCTGATGTCCTCTTTCAAGTTTATTCTTTTCTAAATCAAGACACCAAGGTCTCTCGTGGACATATGGCACACGGACATTAGAGATTCCATTTTTGCTCGTGAATGTGCTGGGTTCTGCTGACCTCAGGTCACACTGGCAAGAAGTTACCATCTGCCTATTGCTGTTAGATGATCAAAAAAGAATGTTTCTGGCTTTTCTGCCACAGCAAAACACCAAAGGGACTAAGAATATTGTATTGCTTGCAGCAAGTGCTCTGGCTGTATCTCACCTGACCTTGAAACTCTGTCCAAAGTAGTAAAAGCAGGAACCAAACTGGGGGTGGAGGAGTGGGTATATCACAGGACTGGAAGCAAGGAAAAATCCAGCAGCAGGTTTAACATCAGAGGGCCAAGTTAGCCCTGATATTCTCTAACCTTCCCTTAATTAAATCAAGTTTCTTCAGTGCACAAGCATTGTATGGGAAAATAAAACACTGAAGTAACTCAAAACAGTATTTCAGCAGGGCAGTACAAACGTGGGATCTCTGTGTTTGCTGAACACTGCAGAGAATTCCTTGGACCCTTCCAGAAATACAGAATGAGAAAAAGCTAGAAAGCACAGCCCTTAAAAAATAAGAAAAAACTTTTCCTCTAACTAGATTGTGTTCTCAGACACAGCAAATATTTCAAATTTTAGTTCTATGAAGATTACAGATGCAGTTTTGTTTTATGCACAGATAAACTTCCTCTACAGGATGAAACTGTTGCAGAAGCTTTGTCAAAATCACTTTCTCCAGCCAAAGACAGCAGCCAGCAGCACGTCATCTCAAAGAACATTAGAATTTTTAAAGTGTTGTGCAAAAGCAAGGATTGCTCCAAAGTTTAAGCAAAACCAATGCATTTCTGCACCTCACTTCTGTAGAGATGCCTTCAGTTTACAGTTTCTTTGGTTTGGGGTGGGGGGGGTTGTTTGGTTGTTTTTTGTTGTTTAAGGAAGAATTTGATGCAGTCACCAAATCTACCTCTGAGTCCTACTGAGTTTTTCATTTGGCTTCTTTCCTGAGATTCTGAACTCCCCCCACACTTTGCAGAAGGCCAGCAAGTGACAGGGTTACTCTGCCCCAAACTTCTGGCCTCTAGCACTTCAATCCATCACAGCACAGGATGAGGGTTTAACCAGCTATGAGCAACCACTGAGCAAAGGTGTTCCAAATGCACCAAGAAACTCTTTTCATAACAGCAGTAAGTTCACAAACTTCCCAGAACAAGGGGTTTTTTTCCCTTCCAAGTAGTAAAGTCCCTTTGGTAAAGATAATTAAAGAACACCTGTTACTGATCACAGCATCACCACTGGCTGAGGCTGGTCTGTGTGATGACACAGACAACTCAAAAAGTATCAAACACTTTCCCAGACTGCAAACCAGAAAATAACCAAGCCAGAAATGAGAAACTTGTACAGTGTTAAAAAGTTACTTCCTTGCATTTCACCTTTAGCTGTACAATAACCTCTCCCCAGGTTTCAAGCAATCTGACCCAAGTATTTTCTTAATAAACAAATCACAGAAGATTTGCATTAAGCAGCAAGGGAAAGAAAACAAGACTTCCATAAAGTACTTATCTGTATCTGCTCCATGGTCTTGAATAAATCCATATTGTACCTAGCTCAGCAAACCAAAATTAAACCAAATACCAATAGAAACTTCTCACCATGTTCCACGAAGACGTTGCAGTGTGGGCCCGCATGCCTCGATGACTCCTTCTTCCCTGCTCCTTTGATGAAGTGCAGGGCAGGCAGACTTGGCCTCCTTTGGTCCCCAAGAACTTTTCCAGGCTGCTGCCCCATAAAGTAACTATGGGCAGCCTTTCCCAGGACAAAAAGTTTTCGAAGAAGTCTGTGATCCCTGATCTTCCAGGCTGGGAAGGAGTTTTGAGGGAGAAGGTATTTGGGTGGGTGCACTGGCTGCACTCACAGTGGGATAAAGTCACTTGAGGTGAAGAATTAAGACAAATTCCTCCAATGCTCCTGAAGACAGCAAGAAGGCTCCTTAGGTGACTTTATGCAAAAAAAAAAAGAAAACGAACAAACAAAATGAACGAGTAAAAGTTCCAACCGCTCAGCAATGGCCACGCATTACCAAAGTTTCAGGTTGCCATATGTAGTGTGTCTTCCACCGGGTAAAGGAGAATTAGTTCATCTCACAAGCAAGAAACCACACATGGGCTCACCCAGGGCAGGAAACAGCCATTCCCACCACAACTACTGTCAAGGTTTCTTTTTTTTTTCCTCCTTTTCTTTTGCATAGCATTGAGTTAGCAAAGGCCAAAGAGCCACGGAGATTCGGCTTCGAGCACCGCTGAAGCCCGGCAGGCTCAGGTGCGCCGGAACCATGGCAGCTCTCCAGGCGAAGCAGCAGCTCCGGGCACGCTCCTGGGCTGCAGGGATGGGACGGGGGCTCCTCGGTCACCGGGCTTCGGCTCCTTCCACCGCCGCTACCTCGGGGCCGGGGGGCCCGGCGGGGCCATGGCGGCGTCGGAGCAGCGCTGGGGCGGCCGGGCCGGCGCGCGGGCGGTCACATCCCCTTCCGGCCCCTCCTCCTCCGCCGCCCCCGCCTCCCGCCCGATCCCGGCCCCGCTGCCGGCTCCGGGGACCGGCCGGGCGGGGAAGGACAGCGGGCGGTCCCGGGAGAAGCCTCTGAGAAAGTGGCCGGGATCCTCCCTTTACGCGGCCCCGGTGCTGTGGCCCAGAAGGGAAGAGATGGGCAGGGAGCGGCTGGAGAGGCTCCTGTGGGAGCACGCAGGGGATTTGGGGCTGAGCAGCTCTCTGGTGAGGAGACGCTGCGGGAGCTGGGCCGGGTCAGTCTGGAGAAGGGATCTCAGCAGTCCATGTCAGTGTCTCCCCGGTGCCAGACTGAGGAGCAATGGCCATAAACTAAAACATAGAAAGTTTCCTCTCAACAGGGGGAAGAGCTTCTTTAGGTGGAGGGTGGCAGAGCTCTGGAACAGGTGCCCAGGGAGGGTGTGGAGTTTCCCTCCCTGGAAACATTCCAAACCCACCTGGGCACATTCCTGTGTCACCTGCTCCAGGTGACCCTGCCCTGGCAGGGGGGTTGGACAGGATGATCTCCAGAGATCCCCTCCGACCCCAACTAATCTATGATTCTGTGGAAGAAAACTGTGAAAAGGCCTCAAAAAGCTCGTGTGAAATCCCTTACCTCTTTAGAAGGGCCACCCTAGTTGTTTTCCCACAGATCTGACTGTGCAGGGGTCTCAGAGCCTCTGGACCCTGGAAGCTTGCAGAGATGGACAGGGAAGAAGAGATCCTTATGGGATCAGCTGTGTGCACAGCCAGCGACCTGTCACCCTGCTTGCACAAAGGACTTCACTTCCTTATGAATGCTCTCAGCATACACAGAACTCAACACCAAAACCAGCCATAGAAACCAGTGACAATTGAAAAAATATTTTATTGACCTATTTTTGTGCACCATTTGGTACAAAGATGGAGTTAAACCCCCAAATTCTTCAGCAGGCACTGAGAATTTCCTGAGCTAAAGAGCAGACGATAGTGCTGAAGATATTTAGTTGTTCATACATTCTCCAGTTCACCTTGGGGACAAGAAGAGGGTCAAGGCAGCAGCTTGAGGTCAGGGTGTTTTGGTCAAAGGTCTGTGGTTGCTCCCACTCGACAACAGGAGAACACACAATTGCAATTCTGTGCTGTAGCCTCCTGCTCAGGGCAACCATCTGGACACAGAGCAGCTTGTTTATACTGACTCCTCCCTTGTGACAAATCCAAACACACTCCATGTCTCCTGTGCCGTATTCAAGGTCTCTGGCAGACCTGTATTTTTCATCTTCTAACAATAGCATCCAAAATGTAGCACTTCATACAGCCCTGCAGGATCCTCCATCTCTGCTGTGCCAGGCTGCTCCTACATCACTAATTCTTAGTCAGGAGACTGAGCTCAAACCATTTCTATTGGATTTCTCCATCAATGGCTCAGTTTGCCCGTACTGAGACTGGTTGTGCTGCGTACACACCCACACAGGAGAGAGAAATTCTCATGCTGAGACAAATCCAGGGTCACGTCTGTTGAACTCTGCGGAATTTCTCCAGGTTTATCTCAGTAATGGAGATCAGCTTCTCACAGAGGTGACATAACCCTCGCTCGGCTCCCACGGATTGGAGGAAAGGGAGGAAACAAAGCTGTCAGCACAGGCCAAGCAGCCCAAGAGAAATTTGTTACAAAACCAACCATTTCACTGAAAATGTTACTCTCTTCTGGGTCTGACTGGAGCATCCTGGATAATCTCTCCTACCATGGCAGGCCTGAAGTAAACTCCAGAAGACAACCACGGGTCCACAACAGTCAGAAAAACCTTCACCAAATTAAGCAAAAGTCATTTCAAATATGCAATAGAATCACAGAACTGTTTGGGCTGGAAGGGACCCTAAAGACCATTATGTTCCACCCCCTGCCACAGGCAGGGACATCTTCCCTAGACCAGGTTGCTCCAAGCCTCATCCAACCTGTCCTTGAACAATTCCAGGGCTGTGCTGTGGGCAGTACAGGCTGTAAATATGCTCTTCCTGGCTTGCCTGAGATCTGTGCAGATGAATGCACTTACTTTTTATTTAACAGACCAGGTGAGTTTATCATTCAGGCTGACAGGCAGTTATTCCTTCTGATGCTGTGCAATCATAAGCAGCAAAGTGGGGCAGGTCCTTTGCCAGCAGTTCCCAGCCTCTTTCCACTCAGCAGTTTCTCCAAAAGCATTTCCTGTTTCCCAGAGCACTGCTGCAGTTAATGTGGGACAATACACAGGCAGATGAGTCAGCTGGTCACTCCCCAATGTCATGGTGAGGTACCTGCCTTCTTCCCCTTCCTGAAGGGTAGTACATTTTCTGCCCCAACCCTGCTGCCAGTTTTTGTGAACATGACTCTCATGTTAAACTTGAAAGCTGCCCAGTAGATTCAGAAATTGTTAGAGAAGACAGAGACAGAAAAGTTGTGTGAATACAGAATAAGTTAAAAAAAAAAAAAAAGCTTTACTGTGTTTTTCAATCAAGTCTGTGTACATAATACCATTTATTTTTCCTAAGAGATATTTCATCACTTTTTCTGTTTACCTCCCATTAAGTGTGGGTTCTCACCCAACAGCTGCAGTGACATTTTCTCCATAACAATATCTTAAAAACTCAACCTCTACACCAAATAATAAAACTTAGCATGTTAATTAACAGTCCTCAGGAACCTGAGAGAACCATTTCAAGATGTCTCTAACCTCAGTGGGATTTCAGTCTCAGGTCTGTGCAAAGCTTTTTATTTGTACCACTCTCAGCTGAACAGCAAAACTGCATGGATGGAAGGGAAGTAATGCAATAAGCAGCAGTAATTGGATTAATAACCCATTAGCACAAATTTAAAATCTCAGTGGTTATTCCTAGGAGTAAAGGAATTCTTCCTATTAGCACATGAACACTGGCACCAAGAAACAAGAAAATCTTTTTGCAGATGAGTGATCTTATTCCCACAGACAACACTCACCAGCAAGGGAACTAGTTACCAGCCCCACTTCTGAGCACAACTGCACCATGTATTGACCCTGGAGGAGGCAGCACAGGAGGTGCTGCAGCTGCTTTACAAACAGTGTCAGACACTGGGGAACAAAGAAATCAGGTTGGTCTGAGCTGTTTTAATGCCTGCCTGGGCCTTTTAGGTCCCCACAGAAAAATGAACACTTACTAGGTTTTCTCCACCCTGCTTTCAACTATTTTTTTTCCTTAAACCAGAGAAGCCATAATTTCTTCCCTTTCACCCTTCCTGCTTAGAAATTGCCCAGCAAAATCCCACAGACTATTTCAAGAATTTAAGGGGCCACTGCTGTTGCTGGCTTGTTGTTACCTGCTGATTTGCAGAGCTGTGCTGGATGGGAACTGTCAGCAATGACCTTGCTGAAGCCTTGTTGCAGAATTTAGGTCTTGGCACAGCACTGGCTAATGTGGAAAGATCAGTAATTACCCCTCGTGGTCACTAGGGAAAATACTGAGACCTTTGGTTCCCTGCCATCAGGGAAGATCCACAACCAAACCTCACCAGCTGGTGTTCTTGGGTTTAAAAACAAAAGTGCCAGGTATTCAAGAGGAAGGGAACTGTATGAGTCACATGCCTCCCTCATTTAACTCATCATTCATGCCAAAATATCAGGAATCCTGCAGCAAGCAGGAGGAATAAGAAAGCTCAGAGCTGAAGCAGTCCAGATCTTGAGCTGTTTTTTAGCAGAAATCCCTGAATCTCCTCCTGTGGTAATAAGATAAACAGCTGCTAAACTACAGCATTGGGTAAGGGGGGGAATAAGTACTTTTCTAAGTGAAAGATGCAGACTGCCAAAGCTTTTTTAGCCTTTTTGAACCAGTCTTGTCCATGGTGGTGTGTGTTATATGGCTACAGCAGCCTCATGGAGACCTGAAAGTGCCACCATCAAGCCTTGGTTTTCAAATTTCCCCAGTCATCTTGAGGATGTCATTGTTGCAACACCTAATAGGAAATCCTCTTAAAACTCAAAAATAATGATTCCCAGGTCTTGTGGGAGCATTCCAGTGATACCCCAACAAGTTCAGTACTGTTTTCAGAGGCAGCACGGGCACTTGTGCAGCAGCAGAAGGGATTAGCCATGTCCTTGCTTGTCCTTAGCCCCATTGTGCTTTAGGATTTGGGCAGCAGTGCTGTGGCAGCCGCCCAGGCCCCGCTGTTTGGCCGGGCAGCGAGGCGGAGCTGCTGGCCAAGGCAAGTGCCACAAACGCGATCCAAAGGTGCCATCTAGTGCCTGCTCGGGACCACAGGGAAAGCAGCCCAGCTGCAGGGGCAGCAGCGAAGGGAATTTCTAGCTCCCAGGAAAACGCCAAGGAAAGAATTTTCCCATTTGCCTGAGGCAAGAGTGCGAATTTGGAACGTGCAATTGGATTGAGAGACAATTGGGACAGATGTTTTATTATTTTTTTTAAGAATTACAGTGCTGTGGTGCAAGGATATATTAGTAATACAAATAGATAGAATACATATATAATAAACCAGCTCTAATATAGCAGCTGCAGCTGAGAGGATTCTCCAGGGAAAGCATCACAATCTTCACAGAGAATGTGACAGACTGCCTGCCAACACTTCTGTGTTCTGTGTGTCCACCTCTAGCCACCAGCCTGAAGATCTTCACCAGTGTCATACTGGGCTCCCAGTCACCTCTGCTTGACTCACCTCTCCACGGGATCCTGCAGGGAGGCAGTGCTTGGAAAACCACTTGAACACCAGGAAATACAGAGGAACCCTGTAAGGGCTGAAGAGGAAGGTCAAGTCCTGCTGGGATGAAGGGCAATAATTAGGAGATAAGACAGTGTAACCATTCCAAGTGTCCTAGTACAAGGAAACTTGAGTCAACCACAGCTCCCAAGCTAGACTAAAAATAAGGCAATGCACACACTGCTGAAGGACTGGTTTGTTTCAAAAAATTTATTGAAATGTAAAATACTTAATACAAAACCATATTGGTGCCTCCTCAGA